TAAAAAATTTAAATTTTTTAAAAATATATTTATAAAATATAATAAAATATTTAAAATAAAAAATAAATTTTCTAATATTTAAAAAATATATTTAAAATAAAATACAGCACACAAATATAGGAAATATAGTACACATTAAAATAAATAAATAAATAAATATTTAAAATATAAAATATTTATCCTAAAAAAATTAAAATACAACTCAAAACTTAAAATATAACTCAAAACTTTTTCTAAAACTCATAACCAAACAATTTTTCTCTTTTCAAAACTCAATTCAAAACTCAGAACTCAAAATACGACTCTATACTTAAATCATGATTCTAAAAAAAAAAAATTCAAAAAAAATTAAAAAATATTTTTTTAATTTTTTTTAAAATGGAGTTTTAAAAAGAGTTTGGTTTTAAATTTTGAAAAGAGTTTTGAATTGTGTATTTTGTTATGAGTTTTGAAATAATTTTTAAATTAAGTTTTAAATAGTTTTAAGTTGTATGTTTTGTTATAAATTTTCAAAAGAATTTTGAAAATTATTGATTGGAATTATGACTCCAAAACACAACCAAACACAACCTAAAATTTTGAGGACGCTGCTAATTAAAAACTCTCCCTGCTTTAATATATATATATATACGGGTTTGGCTTCCCTCTACTCTATGGATTGAAGGGTGTTGTCGAGTCTGTGAGAGCTTACCACATGTTCCGCTTTGATAATCTGAACCATTTAATATGTAGAACTCGTCAAGTACTATGTGCTTGTAAAAAATCACGTTAATTGGATAACGAAAACTATGTAATCAAATCAGTTTAGCATAAAAAAATAGGCGGTGAAAAAATAAACGGTTGATAGAAATCTAATCCGATGAAATAGATATCAATATTCGATCGACGTAATTTTTTACAAGTATATAATACTCCATGAACTTTATGTATTAAATAATTTAAATTATCAAAACCAAAATTCGTGATAGGCCCTTATAAACTCAACAACACCATTCAATCCGATCATAAACTAGAGAAAAGCCAATATATGGGGCCCTATTGATTCAAGAACATGAAGGCAACGTTGTGAGCCGGTCCTGTGCCTCATAGATTTATGAGCTTAAAATCTCGGGTCACTCCGGTCTCATAAGGAAAAAGGTCACATGGGCACCCCACCACCCCTAGTGAAATATGATTGGCCCATATTTTGTTTTTTTGTTTTTCCTCTTATTACTAACCCCCGCATGTGGAGGGGAGTTGTGGGGTGAAATATGGTTGGTCCATATTTTGTTTTTTTGTTTTTGTTTTTTTTTTTCCCTCTTATTACTGACCCCCGCATGTGGAGGGGGGTTGGGAGAGTAGGAGTGGGAGTGGGAGTGGGAGTGGGGTAAAGTAGGGGTCTCTATTAAAACTGATCTCATAATTTGAAGAGAAAATTACATGCAGTAAAATTCAAAAATAAAAATAAAAATTTTAATTTATAAATTTAATTATTAATATTTATAAAATTTTAAATTAATTTATAATTATTTTTTGTAGTACTGAAATTTCCCCTTTTATTTTTTACTTTTCACATTTTCAAAAATAGAAACCATGAAATTCAAAAAAACACCTATTTTTCAATTTTTTTTTATTATAGTGTGATAATTCTATACCTATATGTAAAAGTAAAAGAACAGAAGCAAATAGCTCGTTTGAATCTTAAGCATGAAGCTGTCTAAAACTTACCCCTAGTGCAAGTAGAATAACGGTTGAACCAAAGAAACATGGGGCGCAAACCAAATAGCCTGGTATGTCTTCTTCTCCCTTGCCTACTATTTTCCGTTAGTTTGGAATTTTCTTAAATCTTTGATTTGGTTCATGCTTCCGTCGTGCCCTCTATGTGTTGTGGTTATTTTGTGCCCTCTAGGTGCTGTGCTATTCTTGTTTGTGTTGTCCTGTTACAATATCAATTTCATGCTCACTATGTGTTTGACAATATGCCTAAAGGGAATTAGGATCCCCTCCTTGCATTTCCTACTTGCAAGCTCATTGGGCTTATTTTAGGCCCAATTTTGATAATCCGAACTGTTCCTATTTTAAGATTCGTTCAGTATATTATACCTATAAAAAATCAAGTTGATCGGATATCAGACGTGTTTGGAAAACTCGAACTAAAAACTATTTTTTTAAAGAATTTAATATACAGTTTTCCAAGCACATGTTTTCTGATATCCGATCAACTTAATTTTTACAGGTATGATATACTGAACAAATTTTAAAATATGAACGGTTCGGATAAATTGTGCCTAAAAGTGGGCCCAATGGGCTTGCAAGGAGAAAATGCAAGGAGGGGATCGTGATTCACCTAAAGGGCTGCCTTTCCCATACACACTTGCATATTGTACTAACCATACTGTACACCATCACCGCAAATGATCTGCCAAACAATTAACATTTAGAAAACAAATCAACACACACCTGACTTGCAATATGTTAATTCCAGTGCATTGCGACAGAAAAGGATGGGAAAAAAACGCTTTAAGAACATTCAATTCAACCACATAAAACCGACTAATTGATGCCTTATTTCTTTTGTTCCCCCCCTCCCTAAAACATAAACTAACTGATGCTCACTTTGATGAAAAAGTAA